TACTATATTTTATGTAAAACTAATTATGGTAAATTACCTAATTAGATTGGATTGACATCAACTAATACCATCATGTTTAAGGCTGTAACTTGTATCCTGTTTTAAGATTGGCCACTATGAAAGAATAGTATCTTTCTTACAAATAGAAAATATGAATTACTATTTTAATAGATTGATAAATGAGAAGAAGAAATTGCAATATATACAAGTATGAATGTTTGTTTCAACGCATCAAAATATAATCAATATAAGGTATATTAATACACTTTAATACGGTATATTTAAAGTATAGTAAACACTATAATTAACACTAGATTAAATATTCTTTTATATTCCTGATCGAAGTTTCAGATCCTTTATTTATATAAACATATTTCTATCAATTTATTTGCCTCTAGTCTGATTTCACAGCTTCGCTACATCGTAGTCCATATCAGATTAATATCTAATAACGAACATAATACCGAGTCGTCTATGAGCTTTAATGAATCTATAATGTAAACTCGAAAATTGAATATTTTTCTGATAACGATTTTCAGTTGATAAACACCCCTTATTATTCACCCACATACCTCTATTCCAGCACGTTTCCAGCTTTTAGCGTTTGTTGCAGTTACAGTATTTCCGTCACGTCCTTGCTTGGCAAGCTTTCAGAAATTTCGTTCTATTTTTTTCATGTTTCAATGTTCTGATTTATCTAGGTATGTAAGTACAGTATTCTGACCTTTCATCTTCCTTTTCTCGAGACTGTATTCTTCGTCGAAGTACAAATGCATTTACATATTTATGGTCTATACTTGTATAAGTGCAAATACAGATATTGCTGCAGTATTTTAAATTCAACGTTATTCGTGTTTCTCGGTAATATAATATTATCAGATAAACACGGTTCTATTTATCGATTTCATTTTATAATAAAAGTATTTAGACACAAAAGTATTATTGGAATTTTTGCTATTACATAATGTTTATTTGATCTTTGCGTTAACAATCAAGAATCATTTAATGTGGTAACAATTATTAGGTAACCGAATACTTGAATCTCACAAATAGTCTGTTTCGATATATAGTTTTGTTTAGTTTCGCTTTTATATAGCATAAAGGACACGATTTTAATTGAATCGAGCAAAAAAATGACTCGAAATTGAAATATGGTTTTATGCTAAAGTTACTTGCCTCTGTCATTTGCATGCTGCGTGCTATTCGTGACTCTCTTCGTAAATCGGAAAACGAAATCGTTTTCCAATAATTAGGAGACGAGTCTCGCATATTTAAATAATTTTTTTTATTAATTAGTAATTGAAAATATATCTAATAAACCAGGCATAACAATTGTCTCTTTTGTTATATTTCTGTTAAGATCTATTTTAATAGAATCTATTATAACATATAAATATATAATTATGTAATTATATAGATTTCAATAGAATGTATCATAATATATGTATATTATATATGTATGTATATAGTATAAATAAATTTGAACCTGTAACTGTAATTCTAAATATTTCGTACAAATTTTTAGTTTGACGATATAGATCGATGTAAGAATGTTCAAAGAATAGAGTTGGAAAGAATTTTGCAATATTGTCGCAAGAACATTTAAAACTGTTAATATAGAAATTGGCATCCTATTGCCTACGTAAAATCAGTATAAATCAATTTTTATTCGCAACTTTCCTTTTGTCACATTATCGCACGTATGTAAATAATTTTAGAAGCCATTGGTGCGAGTAATCGTTGTGTATTAAAAAATTCAAAATAATAATCAATACTTTGAACGCTGCTTTCAAATATTTTTGTCATATTTAACTATGACAAAATATAAGTAAAAACGAACGTAACTACTTTGATTGATAAAAATGAGTACAAACCTCTAAAGCTTCATCTTCAACTTCTCTTGAGAAATACGAGACAAAATAATCCATTCGTTTTTGTATATTGTAATTGTCTATATTATTGTACTATTTTGTATATTGTATTTGTATATGTAACTATTGTATATAGGTGAATAATAACCATATAATATCTCTTTTAACAATTAATCAATTTAGCTCTAAAACTAACTATAAAACTTGTAATGAGAACCTACTTAAATAGGTATATTATGCACAGATAATATTTTAATAAAGATTAACAATTTAGGGTAATTATTTTCAATTTGTAACGAACGTACACAAGTGCGTAGTTAAATGAAAAAAATTGAAGAAAAGTGGAAATTCTAGATACCTATTTCTTTGATTATTAATGAAAATGAAAAATAAACTTTCATTTTCTTGGTATTATAGTATTTTTATAAATACAGATACACATTTTACTACATTTTTTCACTGTTTCATACTTTTCATGGTATGGTATATCTTGAAACTTTTGATATACTGGAATGAAACCATTGCCTTATTTAGACTGGGCATCAGAGGTCTACTAGATTATGAATTCTTTTTTCATTTCTGGACATGATATTAGTATACATACACATGAAACTATTAATTTTGTTGAAAGTGGATGCGTATTTTCGCTAATTAGAAAAACAAAAAATTTGAAATTAGCTAGTTTGTTCTAGCACCAATTTAATATTAATAATCGTATACAGACAAAATTCAAGGAAGAATCGCATAAATCATAATAGTATACTATATTTTCCACACATAAGCATATCACAATACGATACAAAAGCAAAAAAGAAAAAGCAAAAAATAGCGCAGAAAAGAAGAAATAGATCTTAGTTTAACTATGAAACTGGTAAAAATAAAATTTCCACAGAGATAGAATAGAAATAAAAAATAGGACGGATGCAAAGAGATATAATTACACGTTTCTTACTTCCTCTTTCTCGCCAGGGGAATCTCCGTTCTCCACTCGAAATCTTCTCCCATTGTCGGACCCGTCTTGCTCGATCTGCGGCAGCTGAAAGACGATTTCAACGGAACCAACATTAGCGACCGTGCGAATCTCTTCCGACGATATGAGAAAAGAAAAAGGAGGCGGGAGATAGAAGGACTGTGTTCCAGTTTTGGAGGACCATCGTTACGCATGGAAAGCCGGAAAAATGAACGCCATTCTGTGACCCTTCGCCCGTTCCCACCCCTCTTCCAACCTCTTTGCACAGCTCTTCTGTAATTAACTTTTATCGCGCATTGCCTCGTTTTTCTTTATTTCCACAGGCCTTCTTTGATTTTTCAAAGACCTAGATTTTTTTATTTACAAAATAATCTTGAAATATGACACTCGTAATTCGAAGTTTAAAGTTTCCAAGCACGTTTTCTTAGCGGTATGCAGCTATTCGTACACTGTTTAATTGTACAAGTCGGAAAATAATGATTTTATAAGTAACACGATGTGAGAATAAAGTTTTCGGATAATTTAATAAGTACAACTAGTAGAACCTTGTCAATTTTACCAAAATAGTCCGTTCTTTCGTTCAGTTATGAATAATGAAGAATTTTTCGACAGAAGGATGCATACGATAGCATAATTTGATTACGAAGTATTTTGAAAATAGCTCGTTCATCGAGTTATACATACGTATGTTGTCTTTTGATGAAAGAATAAATAACGTAATTTGGTTACTCGGAATATTTTCTTTATTCAGTTATGCACAAGTACAAGTGCTTTTCTGGTCAAGAGGTGAATAGCATATGTTACTTATAATATGTAACATATATAGTTAATGTTTCTTTCGTTGGGTAGTAGTGTTTAATGGCAGAAAGAATTAGTATTTCGTTGAAAAAAATACTTGATAAAATTGAGTGAACAGTTGGTATAATTATGGTTGAAGAAGAAGCTGTACTACCTCTGTGCAGTAATTGAATCGATCATTAAATCGCGGAATGAAACAAATTAAGAATCAGACACTCACATTAGCCAAATAAGAATAAAGAATATCGTGTTACAAATGTTTAACGAAACAGAAAGTAAAGAGCATTTTGTAGAGAATACAAGTCATTAATATGTATTAATTGTTCCACATTATACGCGTCATTAATAACCACATATAGTAGAAACTCTATTATATCAACTAATTGGGAAACAAAAACGAATATTATTACTATTATAATATTGATCTACAATGACAATATTATGTAATTATTATTATTATTATTATTATTATTATTATCATCATCATCATCATCATATAACGTACTATGTCAATTTTATAATGAATCAGTGTGAACAAATCTCATCTTTTAGAAAAAAAAGGACACTTTGTTATATACATACACAAGGTGTTGCATTGAATGTGAAAACAATGGTAGAGGTGAATTTGGAACACTAAAATGAGAAAAAAAAATTCATATGAACATACACTCTAAATGACCTTGTTTTCAAATTATATCGTACTTTATCGCAATAGTCTTGTAACTTTATGCATGGTATGTTTGCTAAATTCTGAAATGTAATAACTTTAACGACAAATATAATTTTGTATTGACGATAATTAATGAAAATTAAATTAATGTAAAAATTAACAATAAATATGCCCACGTCAGATACATGTCAACCGTTTCACTGCCGAAATAACTTATTTCGCTATTAATAACTTACAATAATCCTATTTTAGACGGTAGTATGTATTTACGAATTTGTTTCATCTTTATGATTCTTAACCCCTTGCACAATGATTTAATTCTGAGCAATGATGTATTGAAGAAATATTTAATTTTAGTTAACTACCGTACCTCTATTCTATTCGTGATAAAATTATACACAGATTTTAGAATTTCCTCAAATCCTGTGTGTATTAAATCACGTTAAATGTAATTTCGATCATATGACAAATAATTCTAATTCTGATATTAATTCTAATATTCGACAAAATACCGTGACGAATAAAACCCGTTATTAGAGTGCAAAGGATTAAATAGTACAAAAAAGCAACAAACCAATAACAGATCTCATTGTATCTACGTAGATATAAATGAAAAATTTTTGCAATATAAAATGTACTATAATTCGAAAATAAGGTTATGTCGGATATATGTTTCCAAAAATTTATTTTTTTACTTTAGTATGCCAAATCTATTCCTATTGCACTTCTTACGTACAACGCAACAAACCTCTATTGGAATTTTAGGTTTTGCTTATTATTTTCTTATTATTTGCTTTAGTACGACAACGTATACTTTATTCTTGGCTTGTTCTTTATTAGTCAAGGAAGGTACATCGTTTCTGTCGAAATTCTTATAACCAATTGACCGACTCGAAAATCGAAGAGGGTGAGCGACGCAGTTCTCTGGAACCCTAATTTCAATCTGCGTCTTAAGGAAACCATATTGTATCTCAGAACCTTTCGTGCAGTTTAGTCACGCGTTTCATACACGAGATTGATTTTTCCTGTTTGACTAAACGTATTTTTCCAACATACTCTCATCTAATGTAATTCATATAATAAAAAATTTTCACAGAACGGGTGTTCGATAACGAAGGTTCTATTAATAACGAAGGTAACATTGTCAAAAGACAAAATGCGCGATATTTTAAAGCGAATGTCAAAATGAGAAGAACCTAGTAAATTCTTCGAACGTTTGCGTTTAAAGAATATCGAATAACGTTTGTGTTGCTGGGTTAAACGAACCGCATCTAAGGCATCGAGTATGTAGATCGAGTTCCAGTGTTCAAAAAGATACGCGTAGGTACGTGTCAGTTGGCTCAATGCGATTAGGATACGTGTCTCGATAGAGCCTCGTAGTTTCTTGTGAATTTCCATTTCGCGAACCAAAGATAAATATCAAATCGACTTCCTCGGAGTTTGCGAATATCAAGATTTCCCATTGATCGCGCGATCTGATAAAACTGATTTCGAAGTTTCAGTTATTTCAGGATATTTGTTGCGGTGAAATGAATTATGTAGGATTGTTTACAAATATGATACAGTTGTTGGAAAGTTTCAGCAGAATCGTAGTAATAAGAAAGTGCTTAAGGTACTATTTTACTTTAGGGAAACTGAAAGTTTTATGCACGGGATAACTTAAGGAATCGATTTATTCATGAAAGATTGTATAACCCCTGTTCACTGAGGTACTTTTGTATCGATGCACAAAATATAGGAAGAAAACGCAGAAATTTGAAATAAATAACATTTTTTAATTTTATGCCTTCATCTTTTTTTCATTTTTAGTCGTTTTAACAAGTCTCACCACCAAAGATTAAAAGAAAAATCAATTTTTTGTTGTTATTATAAATTGCCAAAACAGATATTCCTGCAGGATGTGTAAAATATTGTACAATTCTAAGCACTAAAAGTATTCCTTAAAAGAAAATACAAATTTTATTGGTACATAATCTAAGCATTTTTCTCTCCTCATGCTTTATGCATTTTAGATAGCGAAGAAAATATAAAAAATACAACAGCAAAATAGAATTTGCTATTCCTTAATCTCGGAGTTCACATTTCAGATCGACTAGATTTTTCAGAGATTCTGCTAGAATTATAAAAGCAAAATGTTTCAAATGCAAGTTTAACAATTATTATGCAATAACAAATTGCAATATTAAAAATTAGTAAGACACTTTATATTCAATACAAAATTAAGAACAACTCAATTTTTTGCTATAAAATTTGATATTATTTTTTCATCAGTTGATACATTTTTGTCCTTTTTTTTTTTAAAAAGTGTTAAAGTTAAAGGGTTTAGATTGAAAATTGAGTAATTTAGAAGTTACGAATTTTGTCAAATAATCTCGATTATTTGATAATCATTTGTAAGAATTTATTTATTACTATTTCCTAAAATATAGGACTGCAATTGCGCCAGGGATATCTTGTAAATTTATGTGAAATTAGCATTAGAACTACCATATCAGTCAGAACAACACATTTGGAACTTTTTATTTTTCCACTTACTGACAATAAACTTGAAAAAATTAATATCGACTTTTATTAAGATAGAAACATAATTATCCGTTTGATCACTAAATAGAGTAATTGATTTGTCCGGATTTTGAAAAATCGAAAAGTGCCACAGGATCGGTCTGCACATGATTAACGATCATTAATTAACATATGACAATTTCGATTATCTTACGAGCTATTTGCTTATGTCAGAATGGCTGCCTGAAGAAAGGGTGTATGTTATAAATATTCGAAATTTATTTTCTTCGATAAGATTGTCAGTATGATCTGAAGAATAGATTAGCAGTCTTTAACACTTGTCGATGCTGCTAAAAATTAGCAGGTGTAATAGAACAAATAGTGATAACAAGTCGGAAAATGGACGAATGTGATCATCGAAACGTGGCTTCACTTTAACATTCTCATGTTATTCTCACGTTCATTAAAAAAGAAAGGTAATATGATGTTAAAAAATATATGTTTGAGTTAAATTGCTTAAATTAAAAATTAAGAGAAATATATTTTTATATCTTTTTTAAAATGTCAATGTCAACGATGTAAATAATAATTTTTTATATCCAGTTTTGTACTTGTGGTCAATAAAATCCAACTACTATTGGATCATTATTTATTTCTCAAAACAGAAAAAGGGTGAATATTACACATGCTAAAATTTTTTAAATTTATGGAATGTTGCATACGTCCTATCTCAAGATACTCATTCAAATAGTTTTGTTGATATGATCGGTATGACATAATTAATTCTTTTCGTATTGTATATCGTATTCGTCCTTAGGCTAACAAAAGTTAATAGAAATTTGTAAAATAGTTTCGTATTGTATCGAAACGTGTTCTCGATATGCCATGTCGTGTAAACAACGTGTCAAACAAAACATAGAAATAATACAAAGCCTAGGAATTTTTTTTAAATACTTTACATAACTTAACAATTTTTTTTTAGAGTTTACATGTCAATTTACCTTAACTTTTAGATTGCTTTACAGTTCATACACTCAATCAAAAATTAAATAAACATTTATCCGAATTCGTGCTATACAAAGATTGTCCAAGTTCA